TCCCTATGTGCTCCCAGGCTGGTGGTTTAGGCCCTGGGAGCTGTGGTTGACTGGTATTGCTCTCCTCATGGAGCCATAAACCCTTTCAGCTCCTTCAGTCTTCTCTCTCACTCATCTATATGGAACGCCATGATTAGGTCAATGGATAGCTGTGAGCTTCTGCCTCTGTATATTCCAATCTCTGGCAGACCTCTAAGAAGACAGCTACATCAGGTTCCTCTCAGCATGTACTTCCTGACATCCACTTCAGTATCTACATTTGGTGACTGCACATGGAACGGATACCCTGGTGGAATGGTCTCCAGACAGATCCTCCTTCAGTTTCTGTCCCACACTTTGTCTCTGTATTTGATCCCTTGAGTATTTTGTTACTCCTTCTAAGAAGGACGAAACCACCTACACTTGGTCTTCCTTCTTCATAAGCTTCATATGGTCTGTTAGTTGAATCTTGGGTATTGTGAGCTTCTGGGCTAATATCCAATTATCAGTGAGTGAATACCATGTGTGTTATTTTCTGATTGGTTTACCTCACTCAGGATGATATTTTCTAGTTCCATCCATTTACCTAAGAATTTCTTGAATTCGTTGTTTTTAATCGCTGAGTAATATTCCATTGTGTAAATATATTATATTTTTTGTATCCATTCTCATGTGGAAGGACATCTGGGTTCTTTCCAACTTCTGGCTATTACAAATGGGGCTGCTATGAACATAGTGGAGCATATGTCCTTGTTATATGTTGGAACATCTTCTAGGTATATGACCAGGAGTGGTATAGCTGGGTCCTCAGGTAATACTATATCCAATTTTCTGAGGAAGAACCAGACTGATTTCTAGAGTGGTTTTACCAGCTTTCAATCTCACAAACAATGGAGGAGTGTCCCTTTTTCTCCACATCCCTACCAGCATCTACTCCTACCTGAGTTTTTTATCTTGGCCATTGTGACTGGTGTGAGGTGGAATCTCAGGGTTGTTTTGATTTGCATTTACCTGATGACTAAGAATTTCTTTAGGTGTTTCTTGGCCATTTGAGTTTCTTCTGTTAAGAATTTTTTGTTGATCTCTTTACCCCATTTTTAATAGGGTTATTTGGTTGTCTGGAGTCTAATTTCTTGAGTTCTTTGTATATATTGGATATTATCCCTCTATCAGATTTAGGATTGGTAAAGATCTTTTAACAATCTGTTTGTTGCCATTTTGTCCTACTGGTAGTGGCCTTTGCCTTACAGAAGCTTTGCTATTTTATGATGTCCCATTTGTCAATTCTTGATTTTAGAGCATAAGCCATTGGTGTTTCATTTAATTTTTAAATCATTGTCTACTTAAAACATTATTATATATAAAAGCTTCTTTAAGAAATAGTAGCAAGGCTTAGTATTCATACGGATTATCTAACAATTGAAATAGAGTCTCTCTCTGCCTTTGGATCACTTTCTTCCAGCTGGGCTGCCTTGTCTTGCCTCAATGGGAGACAATACACTTAGTCCTACTGTAACTTGATGTGTCAGGATGGGTTTGTACCCATGGGGTCCCTTCCCTTCTCTTAGGAAAGAAGAGGATGTAATCTATGAGGGTGTAACTTAGAGTGGGGAAGAGGGCTCTGATAGGGATGTAAAGTGAATAAATGAATAAATAAATAAATAAATAAATAAATAAATAAAAGAAATAGTACAAGGACATCATTTTTACTAAGGAAATTATTTAATTATAAGATGCAATGTACAGGGGAAATTAATTCCCCTGTGAGCTTAAGAGGTTTCTGTTTTGTAGTTCACCTCCTTTTCCAAACAAGCCTACTACAGAGCCCTAGTTGAGATATCTCAGGGGAAAGTCATCTGAGAGATTGAGTCTCAGTGTGTAGCAACCCTTGGAGATTTTTGCTTAGATATCGACAGCTGTGGGAGGAAATGTTACTCCTTGGTGACAGTAATAGGTTGCAGCATCATCAGCTTCCATAGGATTAATGGTGAGTGTGAAGTTTAATTCAGCCTCATCACCACTGAACCTGGCAGAGATCCCAGGTCCTCAACTGTATTCATTATAGATCAGGATTTTAGGAAGCTGTCCTGGCTTCTGTTGGTACCAGTGCATAAGACTTATGCCAGATTTGTTTGACACTTTCACTAGTCCTGCAGGATATGGTGACCTTTTGTCCCAAAGCCACAGCCAAGGAATCTGGAGACAATGTTCCTAGTGGAACCTGTAATGATAAAAACACAAAACTCCTGTTGCAGATATACTGAAATCATCTCAGAGTGAGACATGTGACTTATTTTACAACTGTCCCAAGGATCACTCTGAGGTATAAATAATTAAAGGCAACATGGGAAAGGAAAGGACAAATTACTGTAATTCCAATGATTAAGATCCCAGTGACATGGAATACAGCTGTGGTGTCAGTAGATGTTCTTCACACTTCCCTCAACCATCTCAACTGGTATGCAGAATAGCAGCACCAATATCAGGAGAACATCTGACTTCATCTCTGAGAGCTGGTCTAGAGGCTGCTTCTTAAGACACTGAAAAGCTGCCTTAACACATTCTTTGAAAATCCTGGACCATTGTCTATTGATACAACATGCAAAGTAGCTCAGTAAGGCTAGGGCTCAAAAGGACACCTGCTTTGTCTCAGGGGTCTTTGAGGTTGGCAAAACCATTCATAGAGCATCTCAAACACATCCTAAGGTATTTCATCACTACCCTGTTCACCTTCACCCCATTTCTTTAAAATAATTTTATACAATGTATTTAATATATTTTGAGCATTCCCACTCTCCCAACTTCTAGATCATTTACCCAACCAAACTTCATATTCACCCTACCTCTCTTCTCTCTCTCTCTCTCTCTCTCTCTCTCTCTCTCTCTCTCTCTCTATCTCTCTCTTTCACTCTCTCCATTTCTCCCTCCATCCCTCTCCCCCCTCTCTCTCCATATATATTTCTTTTTTTCTCTTCTCTCACTCAAAAAAAAGCAGGCATAAAATAACAGTAAAATAAAATATACACTGTATGTATACTGTACTGTAATGAATAAAAAACACAGGATCACTTTGATATCTCAATAATCTATCTTTTAATCAACAACGCACTTCTCGTTATGATCCTAAGCAAAAAGAGAAAGCAATTGGATTTCATACAATAGAGAAAGGATATGGTTTCCTTTGGTTTCAAGGGGAAGTGACACCACTAAGTGCCCATCAAGTCAAATCTGGCAATATCATCAGGAACTGAGAGATATGAACAAGGAATGCACATCATTGTGAATAAGTAGGGTCACCCCATATGACAGTCCAAAATCCAATGCTCAGGCAGCAAGATACCCTGAAGACAGAGCAGTTGTCCCACTGAGACATCTTCAGGGTGGAGAACATCTACTCACCCAGCTGCCACTTTTTCTGTTCTCATCACTAGACGTTAGAACTGAAGTACCTAGTTTGTCTTTTCACAAGATCAGGTATTTGAAAGATTAAGAACTAATGTTAGATTGGTTTTGAAAACATTAAATCTGAAACTATTTACTTAAAAACTTATCTAAGGAAATAAGAAATTAGCAGAAAATTTCTTCAGACATTCTACAGTATACTCATAAATGAACACATCAACCATCATAAAAGTTTTAAAACTATTATAGTCTTTGCAAAAGATAGAAACCATACTAGAAAACCACAACCAGTCAAAATACAGAGTTGTCAAACCCAGTCCAAGTGGATACATCTACAAAACAACTTCCTTGCCTAAAGCCAAAAGTGATCATAAATATTTAAGAGCCAGAAGATCAGAAGTTTGTTATGACTCTGTGTTTTTTAGTGTAGTCAGAAGCTATACCTATAAAGTCTCCCTAACACGATGGCCTAAACACAAGCTGAACAAAGACAAAATCAATTGACACGCTAAAACAAATGGGGGAAAGAACACAAGGCCTTAACCTTATACAAAAACTAAGTCAACTAAGGAATGCTTAGCTAAGAGAGTCTTCTCCAAGGAAAAGCACACCAATTGATTATCCAATATCAAATGGTCAGCGCTGAGAGCATACAAACAAGAAACTTACTGAGTAGGTTGCTTTTCAGAATATAGACAGATGATAGATAGATAGATAGATAGATAGATAGATAGATAGATAGATAGATAGATTGATAGATGGATAGATAGATAGATAGATAGATAACAAAAATAATTTTAAAAATCATCCTTTAATTTGAGAAATATGAAAGAATGGTATATGGCAGGTTTTAAAGGAAAAAGAAAGGAAAATGATGTAATTATATTATAATCTCAAAAAATAAGTAATAATACATTGAAAAATATTATAGACTACAATAATTGGCCTATTAAGTGCATGTGATTTTATGAATTGCAATGCAGCTTATTTATATATTTTCTTATTTTACAAGATGCCATCTTTTTGAAGTGACCAAAATTTTAGGCGAGATCTCTAAAGAAATAAAGTGCGTAACATAAACTGATTTTCAGCCAACTGGACCCACAATTATAGCTCTAGATTTTGACATCTTTCTCCTCAGTGTGTGTGTGTGTGTGTGTGTATGTGTGTGTGTATCTGTGTAAGAGAAAAAAACAGAATATTTTTCTAAACCACTTATACTTTACTGATATCTTAGCATAAATGTCTGCATAGATGCTGTTTAGATTCAAAAAACATGTTAACAATACAACAGTTTTATGAAAGATGGATTCTATATTGTGAATATCAAATTTTTGGGGGGGTAGGGTAAGAAAAAATATTTATTCAGCTTATACTTCCACATTGCTGTTTATCATCAAAGGAAATCAGAACTGGAACTCAAGCAGGTTATTCAAGAATGAAATTAAACTCTTATCTATGACCTTCCACAAAACTACCTTCATATAAATCAAAGACTTAAAATTTAAAAACTGAAAAACCTAGAAAAAAGCAAAGGTATGATATAGGTGTTGAAAGGACTTCTGAATAGGAATTCAGTTGCCCAAAACTTAAAGTCAACTGTTAACAAGTGAAACATCATGAAACTAGAAAGTTCTGAGATTGCTAAAGATAACATTAATCAGGCTAAGAAGAAACCCACAGACAAGGAGCGAGTCTTTGCCAGGTAAATGCCTAACAGAAGATTAATTTCCAGAACAAACAGCTCAAAAAAAAAAAAAAAAACAGAGTAAAAAATACAACAAAGAAACCCAAATAGCTCATTCAAAAAATTGTCTTGTTTTTTTAAACAGAGTTCTCAAAAGTAGAGATAAAAATGGGTAAGAAATATCTTTAAACTTTATACATAGCAATTAGAGAAATGTAAAACAAAACAATATTGAGATTACATCTTGCCCCTGTCAGAGTGGCAAATATCAGTGAAACAACTGACCTCAAATGCTGGAAAATATACATAGAAAAGTGAACCCTCATCTACTGCTTCAGGGTGGTAAACTAGTCTAGTCACTTTGGAAATCAGTGTGGAAAACCAACTAAATATATAAAATAAATCTGTCATATGATCCAACTATTCCATTCCTTCCATATGCCCAAAAGATTTTATCAACCTTCTGCCCCACTGATACTTGCTCTGTCATATTCATTGAAAACAACCTAAATGCCCTTCAGCAGACAAATGGAGAGTGTTGTCCAAATGCAATATGAAATATTATTTAATTTTAAAGAAAAAATGGCATTTGAAGGTAATTGAAGAAACTGGTAAAAATTATACTGATTGAGGTAACCCAAACCCCAAAAGACAAATAGCATGTATTCTCTCTCATCAAAAACTCATAGTTCCAAATCCATATTCAAGTATGTACCAAGAGTAACAGAAGAAACTATGAAGGTAAAAGTGGTCTGGAGATATGGATTAGTAGTTTAATGCACTAAGAGCACAAGGTGCTCTTCCAGGGTTCCTAAGATCAATTCCAAGGAAACATATAGCAGCTCACAACGATCTATAATGGGATACTTTGCCCTCTTCTGGCATGTATGCAGACATGCAAACATAGCATTCAAATACAGAAATAATTAAATCTCTAGAAAAAGCAAACAATAAGTAAGAGAATAAAAGTGATTCAAAGGGGAAAATAGGCGATTTAACTGAGTGTGGAGTGAGAAATATAGAAGGATATCAGAGAGT